TTGGCTAGGAAAATCCATGACAGCTTCAGTGCATGGCTGATGGTTGGCAGGCTCAGCTAAGCTCTTTTCCCTTTCTGAGACATATCAAGAGCTCTTCAAGGACTTCTGGTGAATGGCTTAGGGTGCCAAGAGCACATAGCGGAAACTGTACCCATCCTTTTTTGTTTAATTTTTTTTTAACAAAAACAATGTATGCAAACTTTGTAAGCAAGCCAGTATAAAATTTTTATTTTTTTAAATTTATTTTTAAAAACATTTTTAAGTCTAAATAAGACAAAATAAGAGATGTTGTTGTTGTTGTTAAGTGCCATCGAGTCATAGGCAACTCATAGCGAACCTATGAACAACAGCCTTCAACCCTTGCATGACTTTCATCCTTTCTCCAGGTTCATAGGGTGTCCAGAAGCAAGCTATTTATGGAAGTGGATGCCACTCCTGCTTCCAAGTTTGTTTTAACCAGGGAGCCCCACCAAACGCTGCCCGCCATGGGTAACCATTATCGCGTTTGACACATTGGTGTCACAGCGTTCAGCTTCACAGCAACCGCAAGTTACTTCTGTATGGCAAGGGAACACACCAGGGCTATATGACCTACAATAATGTTTCACCAAAAGCAATTAAGAACTGACCCAAGGGCTGCAGATTAGAGTCACCCACCTTTGGCTTGGTAGCATCACTTTTGGTCCACTGGTCTCTCTCTATGTTCTTAACTCTGTGTATTACTGAAGGCACCACTATCACCACTTGCTGTCAAAATGATTTTGACCCATGGAGACCTCAGAGTACAACCATGTATATGTACCATGTAGTTTTAACTCCTTTAAGTTGACAGCACAACTCCTTAGCACTAAGCCACCAGAGCATCCTTTGTATTTTAGAAACAGGAAATTTGTAACCTAGATTTCACAGGTTTATAAGTAAAGAAGAATTTTACCCCAGTATGGATATGCCTAAAGTCTCATCTAATATTTTATTTAGATAATTCAGAAGATGATATTTGAAATTTGGAGCTGATTTAAGACTTTGGAAATTATGTGATGGGGAAGGAAAAAATTTGCATGTGAGAAGATGAAAATTTTGGGGAGCAGTGAGTATAGCACTAGGAATTAAGCTGTATCATGCAAAGATATATGTTCCAATTCCTAACCTCTATACTGGTGGTTAGGGAGGTCTGGTAGTGGTAAGGAGTTGTACTGCCAACCCAAAGGTACACAGAGTGACTTCACCAGCCCCTCTGTGGAAGAATGATGGGCAATCAATTCTCATGAGATTTACTGCCTGTGAAAACTTGCTGAAGGGTCAGCTATGAGTCAGTTCTGAATAGATGGTACATAACAACAGTACAACAAAGTACAATAGTTGAACAAGTCTATAGTAGATTTTTTTTTGTTTTTTTAAACTTTTTTTAATAGTAGATATTTTTATTATTAATGCAAGAAATTGAATGGGGAAAAGTGATATTAGGCCAATTTTGTTGGATCACCTTTCTTGGAAATCAGAACAAATATGGATCTCCTCCAGTCAGTTGGCCTGGCAACTGTTCTCTAAATTTCCTGGCCTAGACTCATGAGCATGTCCTGGGCAGCATCTGTTAGTTGAAACATGTCATTTGGTATCCCCTCAATTCCTAGGGCCTTATTTTTTGCCAGTAACTTCAACACAGTGTGGACTGCTCTCTTTGTTAACACTGGTTCTTGATCATATGGTACTTTGCAGAGCAAGTTACAGCATTTCTCAAGAATTGAAAATAATCCTCCATCCATTCTCTGAGCCTAGCTAGTCAGTGGCCCTTCTCTCCAGATTCTGGATGTTGGCTATGCCCTCAGTCTTAGGCCTTAGCGCTGCCTTCCAGGTCCATTGGAATGCAACCTGGACCTGTTTGTTTTGGGTGGCCCTATTCTCCTGGTTCATCTGAGTGATGACCCCACCCTCTTGGCTCTGGTAGGCCCCAAACTTCCCCCTTAGCAGCCCTGTCCAAAGCTTTGGGAGTAGTCCCATGTTTATGTTCAAAATGAAAACAGCCTCATATTCTGAAACCAAGTTGAAGTTGACTTCTTGAAATCTAGAAGGCCCTGGCTCTACCCTTGACACACTGGAGCCTATTACACTTCTCTTTGGGACCGAAGCATCTCTGCTTTTGATACGTTTTCCAGAAGTTCTGCTGATCTCTGAACTGCTCAAAAGATGGGTTGTTTGGGTTTTTTTTCTTCTTTTCTTAAAGGATAATAGATTTAATTCCTTTGTGACCTGTTTCCTGCTTTTTACTACTCAAAAGATAAAGTTCTTGCCTTTCAACTTTTAATTTGTCTCCTTCATTCTAAGGTGACAGGCTTTCTGCTGTAGTAGTAAGTTAGCAGCAGCAATTCCAGGCTTAGTCTTTTTTTTAAAAAATTTTTTATATTAGTTTACTTACAAAGTTCATATACATTGTTTTTCACACTGGATCTCTCCCATTTCCTTTACCCTCCCCTCCCTTTACCCATCAAATTGTGCGACTGTGTGATTACCTCCCTACCCATCCTCACTCCTCTGCTCCTACCCTCCCCCAACTTGGATCCTCATGCACTTTTTACCAGTTTTCTATTTCTATAATAATGGTCTTATACAGTATTTGTCCTTATAGAACTGAGTTAGTTCACTCAGCATAATGCTGTCAAGTCCCTCCCAAATTAGGTAGTGATTTTCAAGATCATTGCTTCTGCATGCTGCATAGTATTCCATCCTGTGAATGTACCACAATTTCTCAATCCATTTTATTATGGTTGGACATTTGGACTGTTTCCATCTTTTTATAATGGTGAATAATGCTCCATTTATGCTTCAGTTCTAGCTTTCTCAAGATATATTCCAAGCAATGGCATAGCTGGGTCATATGGAGTTTTTATGTTCAACTTTTTAAGGAAACATCAAAATGCCTTCCAGAGTGGTTGCACAGTTTTTACAATCCCAACAATGTGATTATAAGCCACCAATAGTGTATAAGAGTTACTGTCTCTCCACATTTTCTCAAATATTTCCAGGTTTATTCTTCTAAATAAATGATTATGTAGCCACATCTTTTCAGGAAATTCTAGATCAAGTGCCCTTAATTTCTATAAAAATTTGTACAAAATAATTTTCTAAATCTTTAAATTTTGTTTTTATTTTGCACCATTCATTTTTAGGTCCATGTTTTTATGTTATATTTTAATATAAAGAGAAAGAAGCCACATGGCTTCTTTAAGATCTTGGAAATATTTTCTGAGAGACATTCAGTTATATCACTTGCAAGTCCTACCTTCCACCAAGCGTTTATAGAATATTCAGGCAAGTTATTTGCCACTACACAAAAAAAGCATTGTCCTTTCTCCATTGCTCATATCACATGTTCATAATTTTCTTTTAAAGCTTTACCAGAAACACTTCTAACATATATTCTTCTAGCAATGTTCTTTTACTGGTAATATATTCTATAATCCAAGAAAATAGAGAATTTCTCTACAGTTCTCACTTCCTTTAGAGCCCTAATGACAATTGTCTTTGACATTTTTTATTCTACAGAGTCCTTTCAAGGTAATCTAGGTGTTTATTATTCTAAACTCATTGCCATGGAGTCAGAACTGACTCATAGTTGACTCTCCAGTGAATTTTCAAATGCTGTAAATTGCATAGGAAGAGATTGCCCATCTTTCTCCTGAGGAGCAGCTGGTGGATTTGAACCAGCTGTCTTTGGTTTAGCAGTATAAGTCTTTACCCTCTAAACCACCAGAGAACCTTTTACTATTGTTTGTTGGTGTGCACCACTGAGTCAGAACCAACCCATAGCTGATCCTCTAATGAGTTTTCAGTGGCAGTAAATGCATGGAGGAGATTGTCCATCCTTCTGGAGCAGCTGGTGGTTTCAAACCATGTGTATTTGGGATTACAGCACAGATTCTTAGAGAGAATTCCAGTGCTCCCTCTTACTATTAGGAACTGCAAAACTCTTTGAGTTTCTTCCCATTTCCCAACCACTTCTTCATTTTAGGTGTATGTTAGTGCAGCTCTCCTACTTCTTTCTACCAAATTCCTAGTTATCCTGTGCTAATACGTAACAGAAATATAATCATTTTTAGCAAACTGAAGCATATTTTCTCATAGTTTAGTAAGCTTCAAGTTTGAATTCAGGGTGTTAGTTCTAGGAGAAGGATTTCTTTCTCAGGGGCTTTAAGGAAGGTACTTGTCTTTCTGTGCTTTTGCTCTTGGGTAATCATCATGTGACTTATCATCGATCTTTCCCTGGTCTCTTTAGCTTGCTTGTTAGTAAAATCTCTTTTATATCTCAGACAGGATTAACTCAAAACACACAGTACATGCTTCTGTCTCATTTACATAGCAAAGACAGCAGCCAACAGCATGATAATTACCCAGAAACTCTGAAACAAATACTTATTAAATATTTAATACTTTGAAAGCAAATCCATTAAAACACAGATATTATCTAAGAAAAACACACCAGAAAAGCAATGTTGGAGGTACATAAAGCATGCTGTGATTGTAGAGTACAGATTTTGGTTTAAGTTGACATGATTTAAGACCACGTGCCATCCAGTTATTCTCCGTGTGACCTCTGTTAATCACTTCATCTTTAATTTTTTAACACATGGTTATAACACCACTTGCCTAACTTAGTTGTTATGAGCATTAGAGCTGATATGTATAAAGTATTTGGCAAAATAAGTGAGATGTAGTAGCTCTGCAGGTGATACAGCAAAATGATATGGAAACTTAGAATCGCTTGTTTCTTTTCACTGATTACATTTATTGGCACAAAAAATTAAGAAAGAGTTCATAGTCCATGCCTTATGAGAGCAATGGGGGGAAAGAGAAAGATCTTAATTCTTATTTTGCCCAGTCATCTGTCCCCAAAGTGTCTCCTTTTAGAATCTCTGCCCCTTACACCTTCTGTTATAAAGTATTTTCCCCCTTCTTGTGTGTTGCGTGTGTCACCCTTTTCAGAAGTCTGATTTTGTGTTTCATAGATGTATGAGATCAAAGCAGAAGGCAGCATTGCAATGAAGTTCAACGAGATTCTCCAGAAGCTGAGCTCACCCTTGCAGCCCAAAGTCCCAAATCAAAGCAACAACAAGATGAAAAACCTCTCTTACCCTTTCTCCAGGGAGAAAATATATCTGTAAGTATTGAAACTACTGGGAGACCTAAAAGGATATTGTAAGGGAACCCCCCCCGCCCAGAAACACCATTCAGTGCCTTAGCCCTGGAGCTTTCCAGTGTGTGTCCTGATGTCCAGGAGAGGGAGGAGGAAACATACTCTGTATAAAGAAATGTTCTTTGCAGCTGCCTTGGGATTTTCCTTCACCCTGAAATGCTTATGGCAGAACTTGTAATCTTGACCATATTACATGTTTTTGTTGTTGTTATGTGCTGTTGAGTTGCTTGCAACCCTTAGTGACCCTATGTACAACCGCCCTAAACCCTGCTCTATCCTGTGCCAATCGCACTGCCTCCAATACACCCATCCCGATTAACCCAGTCACTGAATCAATCCACCTCATAGATGGTCTTCTCAATGGAAAACCAGGAAACAGCTTACCATATACGTAGTGACTCTGTAGGAATTTTTTTTTGTTAGGTTATCATTCTGTTCAGTTCCCAATCTAAGAGATTTTCAAAATCGCTAAGATAAACCAGAGAGAAGGTCAGTCAAATGTCTGTGTTTCTTTATTCCCAGCTGTTTATTCATGCAAGCCCTCCCATCTTTCTCCTCACAGAGAAGAAAGAATACAAGCTCCTTACTAGGAATGAACACTTGGGGAACATTTGAACATTTGGAAATTGGGAGATATACTACATGATCAATAATTCAGGAGTGATAACACTGAGAGACGGAGAGGATGGGGCATGGAAAGATGGAGATGTAAAGTTAGGTCTTCGTTTATAAGAGCTTTCATGGAGTAGTTTTGCCATTTATTTGAGAATACCTCCTTTGCAGGTTAGATAGTTATTCTATAAACATCTACAAATGCTGTTCCTTTTGCCTGTATTTCCTCACTGAAAACATGTACCTGTAGACATTGTGAGGTGGACATCTAGATAGAGCTATCTCTCTATTATAGACCTTAGGTGAGTGTGATTCAGGACATGGTCTTTCTGATCACTTGTTATGCATCTGAGAGCTGAACAACAAATAAAAGTGGCAGAAGAATAATTTGAGCCTTTGAGCTATGGTGTTAGGGAAGGTGATAGAATATCCCATGGACATCAGAAGAACAAAGAAGTACATCTTGGAGAAAGTGCAGCCAGAATGCTCCCTGGAGGCAGGTATGATAAAGCTTCATCTCACACACTTCAAACATGTTGCCAAGAGAAACTATTCCATGGAGAGGAACATCAAGGTGGAGGGTAGGCAAAAAAAAAAAAAAAGTGTGTCAGGAAGTGTGAGGATGGGCCAGAATAAGACAGGGTTCAGCTCTATTATTCACATTATTCATGAGTCATACTCGATGACACCTAACAACAATTATTATAGATATTACAGAGAGGAAACCAAGGTCAAGGATCTGGCGTGGTATGGGCACATTAACTTCTGGTTTGCTGTCCTTTCTCCCACTTTGTGCTTCTTCCATTCCCTGGATAGCGTGAGTGAAGGTTCATGCAGTGTCTGAGCTCTGAGCTTCCACCTCCCACATGTCTCCAGTAACATTGCTTCTGCTGTACTTTAGACCTCGCTTATTAACACTTTCTTTTGGAGGGAATTTTCATTCCTCTCAACCAATGCTCTTCATCCTCTGAGTCCTCACAGTGGTCTTCACTTGACTGTGTTCTAGCCTGCATTAGTTACTGGAAGACACACATACCCCAGTGACTGATGGCTTCCACAGACAGAAGCACTTTTTCTTCATCTGTGTTTCCTCTAGCACGGTGACCTACTCACAGGAAGCACTCTGTATGTGGGTTTGTTTTGTTTTTAAAAATCAGTGCATGAAGTTTAGAGCATACAATGGATTTTCTATAATCAGAAGTGTGTCACCTAATTGGTGTGCAATGTAAAAATAAAATTTTGAAAAAAAAGAGTTATTATAATCCCAACCTCTTGGAACTCTTTGTTTTTCTTGTCTTTGTTCATGCACAGGCATCTTTGATTTTTGTCTGTTTTTGTGTCTTTTCATTTTAAAAATTGAACATCATAGTAAAATGTTTTTCTATATGCTTATGAAGGTTTTTTATAATGATAATGAACAAAAGTTGTATGTTTATTATATCAATTTTACAAATGCATCATTATTCGTAATCTTTATTACAAATAACTTTTTA